GTTCTTTAATGTTAGGGTTGTTACTTTTAGTTTTTGCAAGAATCTCTTCCTCAGTAGCTAAGGCGCTAACGCGACACTGTTATCTATTCCAATAAATTCCTCTATCTCAATTCTTTGTTCTAAAGCAGTAGATCTTTGCAACTGGGTAAGGACAAGGAGCGGTTGGTCGTTAAAGTCGATTAATATCGATAAATTTTCGTCGTTCTAAGCGATATGTCGCTGTATCCGATGTTGTTATAGGCGGTTTGTATACTGAATAGTTTACTAGCAATTCGGACGGGACCATACAATCTGGCTGTAATAACCGATAGGTCGTTGTAAACGATGTCGTTATAAACGGTTTTGACTGTATTTGTAATGTTTAAAATTAATATTCAATAAAATTATATATTAATTCTTGATTAATTATTGAGTATAAAAATAAACTAGGATTTCATCTAGTAGTAGTATACTATTTGGAAATCATATTCATATTCTTTTTTAAGAGACATCTGGCGGCGAATAGGTTATTTATATTGTATAAGAGTACACTAGATATATAATTAATTTTTTTACTCACTAATAGATGGCGTTTATAAAATTATAATATTTAAACAAATTCTAGTTATAAACGTTAAAAACAGAAGTAAATACACCATGAATTGTGTATTATAAAATTGAAACATTTCTTAGTTAATTGTATTTATTACCACAAAAAAAAATATATTAAGAGCCAGAAAGCGTATGTTAGATTTTTTATAGAGTTTTGTATTACATAATATAAATTTAATTCTACTATTTCAATGAATTACAACACATTTATTATTAATTATTGAAACACAGGGAAGAAAAGTTTCCATTGAAAACATATATTTATCCTTATTATGATGTATTTTACTTATAATAACTATGATGTAGAACTATTCATAATTAATCAAACCAATTTAATGAGGAAACAAATTAGAGTAACATTATTTTTCAAATTTACAGACAGATACGTAACCTCTCATCATTCAATGTATTCATATGCGTGTGTCGAGTCCATCGTTGTAGTGAGAGGAGCTTCAACAGTGACTGGGACTTGTGACCCAGGTGTAGGTTCAAGGGACCCCTATCTAACGCGCGTTAAAGTTTTAGTAACTTATCCAAAACAACGTCTTAATGGGAATTAATTTTAAATTTACTTAGTTTCTACTAACGTTCAACAAAGCATTTATGGTATAAACTAATTGGTACCTACGACTTTACCCGCTAATTAATCTCCCTTTGAGATAAGCGTTACCTATAGGCAATAATTATGAATTCAAATATATTCCTCGAAAACCCCGTAATCAGATTAATTGTTTAACAAAGAACTATCTCAGGACAATGTATTATCATAAAATAGTATTATTTAAGCCTTAAATTGAGTGATAGTTGAATAACAAATATTTAGTCATTTTAAGAGCTCTCTTGTTGAAGTCACTAAAGTAGTTTGATATATTCTTTGTAAAATATGTGCAATATAACTTATCTGTAAGTTATATTCTCATAGAAATCGGTTCAGCTCTTCCAGAGATTAACCACAACAAACACATAGACAATATTTTCGAAATGGCAGTCTTGATTTTAATATATATCATTTTAATATTATAATGTAATATTATATAAAAGATATAGGATCGATTTACACATTTAAGTACGTAAGTACCTAACTAATAATATGTTGTAACAATTTTATTTTATACGTAATATAATTCCTTAAACATCTAATGAACAAATGAGGGTATTTCCATTGAAAGTTTCCTTGTGTTATGAGGTAAAGTCAGAGGTGCTATACTAGTATATTCTGTAATATACCTATATGGATTGTTAGGATGTACTAAAGCTTATAGAACTGTGTGTGTATAGAACTACAATGAGGTCAACTTAGACAGACAATAGTAAAAGTAGCAAGAATATATTATGTGAATTTATACATTTTGAGCTTTACACTTAATAGTATATGTATATTTATGTACTAGTTCTTGCAAAACTAGTACATAAATATGTAGACACCAAAGTTGCACTCTGCCATTATGGCCCTCTGAACCCGAAATGCACTTCATGGTTTCACTCGTGTAGTTTCGAGATTGGGATCGGGATTAAAAGAAGCCTATGTCCTTCTCCAGGGTTCCATCTATCTCTATACCAAAATTCATCAAAATCTGTTCAGCAGTTTAGACGTAAAAAGTTAGCAAACAGAGAGATAGAAAAACAGAGTTATTTTCGCATTTATAATATCAGTAAGGATTGTAATAGCGCTAGCGTAGATTGAAGATGTTGATTTTTTCTTATTTCTTCTAAAACCGTCAAATGTGAGTACTTAAAACCTAACTGCCTATTTTTCTATATATCTCCGTAATTGTATTAGTTATCTTAAGAAGATGGTTGTGAATGGTTCGGAAAACGAATTTCATGTGACAGCATTTTTACAAAATATGGCGATGAGCAAAAATGTAGTTATTTGACCTTGCTCCACTAATAATTAAAGAAAAACAAATGAAAAATTCAGAGAACAAAAATTGTATATATTATTAGTGATAAACCCAATAAGTTAATAAATATTTTAAAATATAAAACAATTATTTTGCTGTATAAAAATCACAAACACAAAAATTTGATAATTTTTTAATGATTTCGATTCCAAGACGAGATTTTTAAATATTATCATTATGAGCTATGACGGTCGTCGATTTAAAGCTTAATTTAAGACCTCTAAGCATATTATATATTTCATTACACGAAAAAAATAATTTTATAACATACAAAACATTTCTTTCATAATTATTATCAGCGCCATCTAGTATCGAAAAGCGGCTCTCAATGGCCATGAATTACATAATAATTAGGCCTCAACAACAAACAGCCAATCTGGCGTGACAACACGATAAGTTAAAATGAAATATGCACCCGCATTCACGTAATGAGATACGAATAACATGTATGTTTACAAATGCTTTGGATGACATCAAATGATGCTCTATTTAAACAATTAATTATCTGTGGAAATTTAATATAAAAAAAATATATCTGTATACTTTCTTCATGTCTAAATTTTTTCTTTAATTTGTCAGCCTTGTTTAAGGAGTAAGGATTTAAGTATAGTATATTAGGTAGACAAAAAGATTAAGTCCTTTCCAAATATATATGAGCATTTTGGGTTAATGTTTAATTTTTATTATGTTTAAATAATATTTAAATTTGATTTTTTTAATTGAAATCATATTGAGAGTATAATTCTATTTTCATTTATTATCGCAACAAAGTCTCCAAGAAGATCTTAAACTCACGGGCAGAATAGAAACTGAAAAAATTGTTTACAAATTCTTGTATAATCTATCTATTACTTACGTCATAACTAAATTTTATTACCTATGTTTAATCTTGCATACAATAACAAGTATTTAAAGTAAATACTGCCTTATACCTATGAACTCTGATTGCTTAACCAATTACTTATTACAAGAGAAATAAAGAAAAAGCATTCAAAAACAATCAATATATACCTATATAAAAATGTCTTTAAAATATCAGTTTATATCAGTAACTTAAGCTAACATACTAAGTACTAGTTAAAAATATACGCTGTTTTGTCTGATTGGACACATTTTACTATGATTTAAATGCAAAATCGAAAACTTTCAATTAATATTTAGAATAATGAAAAACGAATTAAATACGCTTAAAATATATATTGAGAAGAAATATGCACGGATATTTTTTTGAATGTCATTGTCACGAAATGTCAAACAATGACATTTGTCTTGTACTATTGAAGTTGAAATAAATGATTAATAATTGAGTTTTGTCACTTTAGAGATGCTTTTTTAAGTAAATTTAAGATTTAACATGTAACCATGGCAACGCTTGAATAATCCCCGACAATCGTAAGTTGAATTCAAATAACATTATAATAAGATCGTCTCACTTCCGAGTGTAAAGAATGAACGGAAAAGACCGCGAAAAACCTTGCGTATAACACACAATGGTTTGAAATTTCGTAATATTTGATCCTCTTAAACTAAATAATGCGACTTTAAAAGTAACATTTGTCTCAAACTGATTCAAAGAAGGTTCTAATGTACATTATTTGTTTTTTTTTTTATAAAAGCCATTTAATTTAACGTGTATTAAAAAAAACTGACAGTGATTAAATAAAATTATACGTAATATTAATTATACTTTTATGTATTCATATTAAATTTATTATTTACTAAACATACAGACATAAACTCACAGACGGTGAAGGAAAACATCGTGAGGAAACCTGGACTTATAGTTTCACAATTATAAGTATGAAATCACCAACCCGTCTTGAGCAAGCGTGGTGATTAATGCTCAAACCTTCTCCATGAGACAAGATACCTTTGCTCAGCAGTGGGCTCTGATAGGCTGATGACGATGACGAAAACATAAATTTCTTTTCCAATATAACAATTAAAATTATGAGATAAAACAGTCGTAATTATATACGTCAAAAATACAGCCTAATTATTTTTCTCGCCGTTAATTAAACTATTATTTAACATATTATTTATACTCATTAAGATTAATCTTAACCTTAGAAAAATTATAGCCAAACTCCTTCATATAAAATATTGGATTAAAAATTCATTGTTTTATAGCAATAACTTGAATTATTAATAACTTTATTACATCTCTAAACCAAAGGAAAACGTGTAATGCCATTCGCTAATTGGTACAATATTGTTAAAACCAAACCTTATTTTTTGCATATATCCAATTAATATAGTTTATACAACTGCATTTTAAATTATGTATTGATTTATTGCATGCATACGCATAAAAAACGCCATTTTGATATAAAGGCGATACTTCTAAAAAAATCAAATAAATATCATGTTTTTTCTATAAAAATTGATAAACGCTTACAAACTGTAGACGTTGCTTCACTCATGAGAATATCCCATTGATATTAATATAAACTCCTTATTGTGGCTCAGTGTTGTTTCGAACTCTGAACTGTACAGACGCGTATAATGTTGAAGATTATTATATTCGTCGGCCTCGTGACCGGCGCTCCGACGAACATAGACTATGGGCCGATAAATCAATTCACCTTGAAACTATTGGACAATGCGTTCACATATCAGGATAGTATCGGCAAAAGAAACGTCGCTATATCACCATTATCAATTTGGAGTATATTTTCATTGCTGGCTGAAGGTTCTACGGGAGAAACTTTTAATGAACTAATGAAGGAATTGAGACTTCCTAATGACCTACGATTGACTCAGGCCTTGCACTCAGGTTTAGCTAGTTTAATGAAGAGCAAAGATTCAGATGTAGTACTAAATGGAAAAACAGCTATGTTCGCGGATAGTGACATCAAAGTTCATCAAGAATTCTGCGAATCAGCTTTATATTATGGTGCTGATGTGTACTCAGTAGATCCAAGTAATACAACGAAGTTAGCTGACGATATTAATTATTATATATGTATCGCAACTGAAGGAAAAATACGAGAGGCGGTTAGACCTGAACTATTGGAGAGTTTAAAGCTTGTTCTGGTAGACGCGTTGTATTTCAAAGCAAGTTGGACACATCCATTCGATCGTACGCAAACTAAGGTCGAAGATTTCTATAATTACCAAGGAAAAACTATTGGGTCAGTGAATATGATGTACCATAAAGCACCACATAACTTCGGCGACGCTAATTCCATAGAAGCCCAAGTATTGGAAATGAATTATGGTAAAAACGAGAAATTCTCAATGTTGATCCTATTACCATTCGATGGTACATCAATAAAGAAGGTTCTGGAAAACCTGGTTACACAACCTCTAGATTGGACGACGGAATACAGAATAACTGACGAATTCCCTGAAATTGATTGCTATATACCCAGATTTAAAATATCTTCACAGATAGACTTAATACGTCCTATGCAATACAGTGGGGTTACGAGTATATTTGATCCAGAAAAAGCTGAATTACCAGGTGTATCTGACAGTCCATTGTATGTCTCGAAGACCATACAAACGGTTGAAATAGAAGTAAACGAAGAAGGTACTGTCGCAGCGGCGTCTACGGTAGTGGGTTTAGAAGATAGAATATTAGGAGCTAGGTTTGAAGCGAACAAGGAGTTTGCATATCTGATAACAGAAAGAGATTCAGGTTTAATATTACTGGCCGGCGTGTATACAGAACCAACTGTTGTGTGAGTCATTAAAAAAAATAAAACAATTTCACCCTTTTTTTTTTTCTTCTAACACTAATGTAATATTTTCCTTAATTATTTACCCACATATATATCGCAATGAGGATAATATTTGCATAATTTACAAGAAATAAACAAGTTATTCAATTTTATATTAAATATACAACTTACTTGACAATCTTTCGTACCAAAGTAAAATTAAATTACATAATAATATCCATTATATGTAAACAAACGTAGCATAATATGATATAAAATAATATTAAAATTATTTATATATTTTTTTCATAATTTATAACAAACTATTTTTCCCTATAAAGTAATTTGCAAAATGAAACGTAACATTTTTTTTCATCAAACACGCAATTTCTATAATAATGGATGACGCTGTTATGACGTCATCATTTACACATGGCCGCCACAATTTGACAATTAAAGTCATTTAAACAATTAAAAAACAAATTATTAAATTATAGACAATTTTATTAATATAAGCAAAACTTTAGTTAAGTTATTATTTAATTTTATGTTTTTTTGTGTTTTAAAAGTTTGAAAAGAAATAACTTGGAAATATATTCGTTAATTTGTGTGAGTATGTATCGTATAAACAAAATATTCATCATTCTCATTTATAGAATATAGAATTTATGAAAGAAAAATCTTTATATATAGAGATTTTCATTTTTTAAAGGTAATTGTCATACAAAATAAATCCTATAGGACTGTAGAAAATATGAAGTTTTTATATTTTTATCAATAAGACAACAAACATATCACAGAGCTCTTTATTTTTATTAAATCCAATTATTTATATAATCTGTGCAAATAAATTTATTCTTCAATAAATAAATTTACCTACCATATTGTTACAAGCCTTTCATATTTCGCGCCATATCAATTGTATGAATGGTAAAAAATCATTCACACGCGCCAAAACGTACTTAGTATTTAATATCTTACTTACTTACCTATTATGCTTACTTCAAGTGTTCATTGTCATACTTAATATATGGCGTTTTCCGTTCCTAATCAAATAACCTACTAATACTAAAGATAAGAAGATTATAATGTAAGAAGATTTACGTGTAAAAAACTATTAACGTATATAGTAAAATATATATCATAAAAACTTGTGGTAAACATACAGATATATAATTAATATCGTTCTTTAGTTTAGATTTAAATAACTTATTTGAATAAGACACCAATATGTACAATTTGTTATGCATAGGTACTTCTTAAAAGTTAGAAGTGCACTGTGCACGCCCTAAAAGTAAAAAAAAAACAATTATATGGCCAGTACTTTGCAATAAAAACTAAGTATAAAAAAATTATATATTTAAATCAGTATTAAAATTAAATATGCAATTTATTATATGTGTTTTTTTAATGTATTCAACTTGAAAGTAAATTAAATGCATTCTATAACTTACCAAATAGAAACCTCGGGAATTTTGACATCGATAGTTCAAATGTCAAGTTTGAAAGAAATTAATCTAGTGGAAGAAAGTGAAAAATATATGAGACTGTGGTTAAAGGTTAAAAAAACCGGTAAATTGTAGTATGATTACATATAAAGTTAACGGAAAATCTTTAAGTTTCGATTTATTTATGAAGTCATATATTAAAGTTACGCAATGAATACTTATTAAAATTTGTAAGACATAATATATTAAATGCAGTAGGAACTTCAAAGTGACTTGTGATAAGGAGGAAAGATTTTGATCTTGTTTGTCATATTACTAAAACAATGAAAGTTCTTGAGGTTTAATTTAAACCAAATCTTTTTAATGTACAAAGTAAATTGACGAAAATATATAATTTTACAGTAAAATTACATAATTAAGGATTTTTTATTATAGAATTAATGCTACATATGTGAAAATCGGGTAGAAAAACGTTATTTTCATTTTGTTTTATTTTTTTAGATATGTCCAGTTTATAGAGCCAAAAATCTTCGGTCTTTAATACTATGCATCTAAGCGCGATCTGGAATCATAATTTTTACGCATAACTAATAATTACTTTGAATATATAAACATGTCACGTTTACGCAATTAAATAAAATAATCAATTTTCTTACATATTAATTAGATCACGAGTTATAAGATTAGTTATAAATGTATAAAAAAACGAGTTCAACAAACCATTATTGCTAAGACTGATATTTTATTTAATTGTTCAATCGACCATATATAAATATATTTTTTATATTTATATACAAAAACTAGCTATTTAGACTTGAATCGCATAGAATTCTTATAAATATAATTAATATGAAATAATAAAATTGCTGATGTAAAAGTAAATTTAGTTCATATTAAGTATATCGGCTATCTACAAATGAGAGTCCCATTAAAATCGGTCCAGCTGTTTCAAGGATTAACCTAACCAAACACAAATGTTGATTAATCCATGAGCATTTAGTAAGAACCAATTATTTTAGTATAAGAAAGGGATAATCATAAATTTATGTATTTATATAGGTAGTTCATTTCTTATTTATGCCGTAAAAATTCATAGTAATTTTTAAATAATAAATATATATATAAAGTAGTATAGTAATCTTATATATAAAATTCACGTGTCGCGGTGTTAGACAGAATTCCTCCGAAACGGCTGGACGGATTTTGATGAAATTTTGTGAGCATATTGAGTAGGTCTGAGATTCGGACAACATCTATTTTTCATACCCCTAAGTCATAACTCATAAGGGTTGTTCACCCTTAATTATTTTTTTAACTTCGGACGAAATTTTTGGTTTTTATAATTTTTATAATGTAACATTAAAAAATACATACAACCCAAAACTTTTAATTTTTTATCACCAAACCCTATTTTCCTATTTAGCAAAACAAACTTTGCCGGATCAGATAGTTTTTATACAAGAATTCAATGTTTAATATGAACTTTAAAATATGTATCTTCACAAAATGTTAACAATACTAACCGTGACCGCGACATTAAGATGTTTCTGTTTTTGTGAACGAAAACTTCCCACGTTTTTTGTACCATAACTTCCTTGGAAACAATTAAAAATTATTCCTCAAGGTCAAGAAACGATGCCCAAATTATTAGTTTTCATCGTGTTCTAAAACGATTTTGATAGGAAATAAATAATCGTCTTTCAATCTTGAAACATAATTGACATCTTTAAAATTTGACCTTGAAAATGGCGTTTATGAATGGTTGTCAAAATTGTATGTATATTTAACATGAAATAAAGGAAGAAAAACGATTTTCATCTCGTCTGCACTTAGTTACGGTTGCTGAAAAGTAACGGTGGGAATATTTAGTTAAAATAATGAAAAACGCGTAAAAAATCTGAAAATATAAGTAAAAATGAAGTACCTATGGTGAAATTAACATATTTATTTACATGTAGGTACTTATTATTACATATTATGTACGCATTATACACGTTTACCTCTGTAATACTATAAAAAGTGATATCCAATAACTTTTTCATTACAACTTTACTGTCATTTCCAATAAACATATTTCTTTAGACTAAAATCTATTTGAATTTCAGACATAAATACTTACTTTTTTATTCAAATACATTCTAATATCACAAACGACATCCATGATGTGATTTCATATTTTACCATTTAGCCCGCAATAGGAACTCTAATGTCTTATAAAAATAAAAGAAAGTAATTACACTATTTATAACTCAAGAACGGCTGTTGATTTGGCTGAATACTTGAGGAGAAATAGGTTGAAATCAGGAGACTGAATTTGCTGATAAATCTAAAATCTAATTATTTACTGCCTGTAAATCGAAACAGTTCGCCTGGTCAACTATATAGTTCTAATTATGAAACTGAGGCGGACAAAGTCGCGGGAAAAGCTAGTTAATTAATGGATTTCATTCTATCGTTTTCTGTTCACGCATACATATAGATCACTGTCGGATATCGTTGTATTTAAAAGATGGACAACTTGATACTGGGACATTTTGCAATTGTTACTATTGTAAATGAACAACCATTACTCTTATTGCGTCCCTTCACACCATCCCACGATATTGCAATTGTTTACATTATTTAAGTATACATAGCTATGGTTTATGGGAACAGCGGGAAGATAGAATTCTAGATAAATTCATCAGTCTTTAGTAATTTATTCCTGTAACGAAATTAAAATATAAAAAAAATTAAAATAATAATATGTCAGACGCAAGGATGCAATAATTACGATGTTGCCAGTTCTATTATTGTTTTATAATTATTAATCTTTTTATAATATGGCCTTCATCCGTGCAAAAAATTTCACAGTATATTCTGCCAGTGTCGAGTAGAATGGAAGAGACACGATCCGGGATTTACTTTTAAGCGAACTAAACTTTAACATCACCGGCCGAAGTCACAATTAGGAACTTTGTTAGTAGATCTAAAACAACACAAATATAATTGGATGAAAACTTAGGAGCTAAGAATAGACTGTATAAAAAATGTTACACTAAGACTTATATTAAATAAAGATAAAATAGATTATTACAACTTAATTCTGTTAATTTTAATATATTTACATATAAATTTACTAAAGGAACCAAACAACAATTACATTATTAATCATATTATTACAAATGGTCATATCTTAACTGTCACTAAATGACATTCGATCATTGACATTTCGAAATCAAAAGAAAAGTTAAATGTTGTTGTAAATTTAGTTATAATTTATATCGTTACATGTTTCGCTGTTCATTAATTGGAGATAATTTAGTTTTAATACGTAAACATGAATTTGGTAGCCAGAACGGTCTTGACCAGTAGGACATTTAGGTTATGTGACAGATTCTCATATAAATATTTACAAAGTCCCTTAACCTCGGTATGTCCTGTTATACAACATAGAAATTACTGCGAAGAGAAAACAGAGGTTCGGAAGCTGCCGCAGTTGATGGAATTCCCACCAATAGTATGGCCTTCCTTCGTCAAATTCATCAAAAACTGGATGTTCGCTAACTTTATTATTAGACCGTATTTCGAATCTGAATTCAATCTTCGTGAGTTTATAGAGGCTTCCAAACATGCTGTTGAGGTTTGTTAATCATATAATGCACATTTGGAATATCTCTTATAAATTTTCCTGCACTTTATACTTAAAATACATACTTTTATCATATAGCTGAATAATATTGCCTAATCTTCTTCTTCCTGACAACTTCCTAGCTTTAGTCAGGGTCTGCCTTAATTGCCTACTGTTTATATTGATCAAAATACTGACAAAGTACATTAGGTTGTTTCAGAAGGCCTACAAAAGAGTGACTTCAAATCATTAGAAGGACTGGTTGAGAAAGATGCTATTGAAAAGTTAAAGTCAGCCGTCTCCAAGCTATCTGTGTCTCAACGACAAATGCTGTCTATAGATAAAGAAGATATTTTCTATGCTTTTCCCTACCAGGTATAAACTTAATATACAGGGTGACTGGTGAATTACTATCGATACTTGAGGACGTGATATTTGACTATCATATATGACAAAATAAAAATTAATATAACATAAATATTAATAAACTTCTAAGTAAAGTTAACCAAAAGTTATGTAATTAATTACGCATCGTGTGAACACCCTACAAATTAGGTATACACACAAACACACATACGCGTGCGGCGGCGTGGTGTTGTATCAGCACGCCGCCGCACGCATCCACACTTGGAACACTTGGAACGTGTCAACACTTTATTTATACAGAAAATTTGTCAAAAATTAAGTGCCTATTTCTTTTACATAACTTGAATGAGAATCATGTACCGAGTATTCTCCTTAAATATTGATAGTAATTCACCAGTCACCCTGTATATGTCAAAGACTTTTAATTCATAAATATCTATAATAAATCTACAGTCAAAACCGTTTATAACGACATCGTTTACAACAACCTATCGGTTATTACAGCCAGATTGTATGGTCCCGTCCGAATTGCTAGTAAACTATTCAGTAAACAAACCGCTTATAACAACATCGGATATAGCGACATATCGCTTACAACGACGAAAATTTATCGATATTAATCGACTTTAACGACCAACCGCTCCTTGTCCTTACCCATTTATTGGAATAGATAACAGTGTCGCGTTAGCGCCTTAGCTACTCAGGAAGAGATTCTTGCAGAAGCTAAAAGGAACAACCCTAACACTAACGAACAACACGAAGACCAACAAGAACTTGAAGAACAGTTTCAGCCAACAAAAATTTTCGAGGCTCTTAATGATGTAACAGTTTTGCAAAAATTTTTTGCCTTTAATGAACACTTTGATATTGATGATACTTATACCTTGAGTATGAACTGTAAAATGCTAAAAATATTTGAGACTAGGCTAAAAAAAATTATTCTAAAATGACTGATTACTTTAAAAACCAGTGTAGTTTTATAACCCGTAACTGTAAGCAGCTAAGTACATTTTGTATTCTGATTATTTCTTAATAAATATTTTTATTTCTTTTCTGACTCGTTTACATACATAACCTATACCTATACTAGATAGATAACTACATATGATAATATAACTATGTACTGTACTGTGTATATGACTGTATTGCTTATAACGACTATCGGATATAACGTCGGATATATACGGTCCCTTCAATGTCGTTATAAACGGTTTTGACTGTATATATAATACTAACATTTGTTTGTATCTTGAATTTTTCAAGAAAAGTTTTGTATATCAAATATACTGAAAAAGTAATGATGCTAATTTTTCATATCACATTTGCATTATTTTTCTCAGTATCTGTAAATTTTTTTTCTTTTGTAATATTTTGATATATATGCAAAAAATATAATAGTTAAAAAATAAACTTAATGGCAACATTATTTTATACTTTTAAAATTTAACTGCTATATAAATGTACCTTATATAATGGTATACTATAAACAGCATTAATTAAAACACAAATACAATATGGCAATACAAAATATAAAAGCAACATCTGGAATATCACACAATAATCCTTTAAAAATGTAAAATTTCAAATTCAAATCCTATTATATAATGAAATACTTATTATGCTTAAATTTTAAAGAAGTTACTTCAAATGTCACTAATTTTGTCTTGCAATACATGTATAATTTAGTCAAATTAATAATAAGATAAAAAGATTTATCAAGAAATCTCTTTCATTATTCAATATTTCAATATTCTTTATACAACAGGTCGGCATAATGTTTGATGATTCTGACAAGCGTTGGGTCGAAATAACAATGTGTTATCACGTACTGCGTGGTTTGAAACAGATGCAAGAGAGTAGAGATGTAACGCCTATATCATTAGGGTATGTATACACATATATATACACATATATATATATATATAGTATTGTATAATTTTGCGTATCTACATTGGAAGCAGATTATCAGAAGAATGTTTAAGCTGAAATATATACAATTATTAACGGCTATTATATTAACGGCTTAAAGGTAATTTTTTCACAATTAGTAATTATTTAGTGTTTAATTTATTTTATTTATTCCAATGTAGATACGAGGATAATTACGTGGATTTGCACTATCCCCAACGATATGTATAACAATTCATATTATAATAATATAAGTGAGCAATTTTGTGAGGATGTATGTAAATTTGTTGGTATTAAAATATATTGAATAGATTTTGATGAAATTCTGTAATGATAAACCATAGGAATTACATATAATTCATCTCTTTATATCATGGATATACAAAACACGCTAGAACAGTGTGTAGTTCGAGCCTCACTTTTAGCAGGCGGCCCTAGAACTTAGGGCCTTTCAAGCCTTTTCGTTACGTGACGCTGTAAAAGCCGTAGGGCTAACAGCAATACACATTACAAAAAAAGAAATGTCTAGTATGAAGTCATGAACCTATAGATGGCGCTGTCGACTAACATATTAAATTAAATACACCTCATTTAATTCACTCTAAACATAATACCAGAAGATATGCGGACGAAGTCGCAAGCAAAAATTAGTATAATAACAAAATGTTTCTATGTAAAGTAATATTGTTAAGCTTAAAATTATATTTATTTATCTTATATAATTCTTTTAAAGTTATAAATATTTCCATTTAAACTTTTGGATTTCATTTTTAATACCACCAAGTGTAAAGTAAGAATAGAGTACATATATATACATACATACATTTTATTAAAACCCACAATTCTGCATACAGATATATATTATAATAAGGAATTTTAAACTGTAAATTATTTATTAAATAGTAAAAGTATCAAAATTCCATACTAATAAATTTTATTAATGCCTTAATATTTAATTTCAGAGTTCAACCCGAGTATCAAGACAATATATTTATTCTGAACTACAGATTTATAAGAGAGTTTACCAAAGGCGTAGAAGATAGTTGGTGGGTGAACATAGTAAATCACTTCCAACCGCACGCACTTATGAGAAAATAATACTTATACACATTATAAGAACAATTAAAGGCAGTTAAGTTTGATTTTATCGTTTAATTTAACTAACTTGATCCAATCCAATTAGCAGAGATTCCTAAACTTATTTTGTGTACTGAAACTTTGAGAATAAAATATTTTTTTGCCTTCATTTATTCAAATACTGAAAAACTATAACTTATTCTAGATAAATGAATTACATCACTTTCCATAACTCGAAGCAATCCAATTGGCAGCGGTTCCCAAACTCAATTTTTTACTCCCATTTTGAGAATTAATAAATATTTTTTTGGTAAAAATAAATTCATAAGTACATATGTAGTAACAAATAAGAAAAGCGTAGTAATTCTAAAATACTAATTTTATTTAAATAAATACTCGCAAGTCTCAGATGTCATTAAAATTTAATGAATTTATAAATGATCATCCAAGGATACTTATAGTTGATTTGTATAATTATACCTAAGTATAAGTAACAATAAACTTATTAATGTATAAAATATAACAAATCATTATCTATATATTCTTGTAAAATTTTTGTAAGGTTATTCAAAAGCGCCTTCATGTCACCTAAAAAAAGTTTATATATGTAATAATAAATATATTTTATTATCTGTATAAAATATTATGAAAATGAATTTACCTTTTACCGGATCATACAGAGATCTTTTAGATACACCACATTGAACTTTAATAGGTATCTGCTTTTTTGATGAATTTTCAACATCTATAAACATAAAAAAATCTGAAATTGCTACTAATAAAATCTGAAATAAGTATTCAAGTCTTAATTTTTAATTATACAGGGTGACTGGTGAATTACTATCAATATTTAAGGAGAATACTCGGTACATGATTCTCATTCGAATTATGTAAAAAAAATAGGTACTTAATTTTTGACCAAATTTCTGTATAAATAAATAAAGTGTGGACACGTTCCAAGTGTGGACGCGTGCGGCGGCATGGTGATACAACACCAAGCCGCCGCACGCGCCTTTGTGTGTGTGTGTATATACCTAATCTGTAGGGTGTTCACACGATGCGTAATTAATTACATAACTTTTGGTTAACTTTACTTAGAAGTTTATTAATATTTATGTTATATTAATTCTTATTTTGTCATATATGATCGTCAAATATCACGTCCTCAAGTATCGATAGTAATTCACCAGGCACCCTGTATATATATACTAGCTTTCCGCCCGCAGCTTCGCCCGCGTGGAGTAAGGTTATATCACGTTTCCAAGAGAACCTTTCAAAAGTCTGAGATAAAAACTATCCCACGTTCTATCTCAAGGTCAACTCTGTCTGTACCAAATTTCACTAAAATCAGTTCAGTGGTTTAGGCGTGAAAGCGTAACAGACAGACAGACAGAGTTATTTTCGCATTTATAATATTAGTAAGGATACATATATGTTCACCAAACAATATGCAGTAATAGTCTTAAAAGTACATAAATTAGATATTAAAATTCATATACATATTTTGAAGTCATAATAAGCCTTTTTTAACCACAATCTTACCTTCATGAACTTTGTCCAACAATGTACTTATATCAAAATCATCACCGAGTCTAGAACACAATACATTAACATACTGACTTCCAAACGGCAATATCTTATTTGTATCTCCTGTCTTCAACTCGTAGGTCAAATCATTGTCAATACTCCCTGAATGCTCGATTTGCAGCAATTCATATGCTGATGATGATGATTGAGTGGAATAACTTATTATTAAATTTCTATGTATTGAATAATTCTCTATATTTGATATGTTGGAGTATATTTTGGGATTTGATTCTCTAGAAAAAATATATGTGATAATTAGGGTGGAAAATTAATTTGGGTCGGATTGATGAAAGCTAAAGATTATTTTTAATCAAAGCCAATATTAAGTTATTTTATAGCTTGTATGTATGGTAATTCTGAATTTTTCATTTGTCAATAATTAAATACCATTCACAAACATAAGAAATTACTAATAAAAATTAAAGTTTCTCATTTTAAATTCTTAATGATATTTTTATTTGGAAGACAAGTGAAAATATTCTAAGATTTTTATATAAAGTAAATTATAAACCAAACTGGCAAATTTATAACAAGTAAGAATTATAAAATGTTCTCCAATGCAGGACAACAAAATATTATATTAATTGTATAAAGTTTTTTGGATTATATGCAAGGTATATAATAATTTAATATACAAGGTTACCTCTCCAAATTCTTTCTACACATATCCATTATCAAGACGCACATTTCGGGCTTACATTTTTCTACTTCCCTCAACAACCAGTTCTCTGTAATGCAATGATTCAAATCTATGTCTTCCGTAGGACAATCCACGCTCAAAATGCATTTAGTATTACAAAGCTCACAACCATGACCGGCGTAGAAAATAAAACCTGTAAATTAATTTTCAATTTATAAGACATGTTTATTTAAAAATTATATTAAATTTGAACTTACAATAAGAATCCTCTGGTATAACATTAAATATTTTGGATAATATATCCTTACAGTCATTACTTCTCGTATTAATAATAATTATAGATATAAAACCTAGCCTCTTTAAATTCGACGCTATAGAATCACAATCGATAGATGGCGTCACTAATTTACTCAAATGTTCATATTTATTATTAGCTAATAATATCGCCACTTTAGTTTGTGGTTTGTAATATGTGATTATAGTTTTAGTGTTAAGTGCCTTGTTAAGGTAATTTTTGTATTGAGATAAAGAACAGCCTTTGCGATCTAGAAATTTTGATAGTAACTGTCCCGGATTCTTTTTATCATTGAAAACAATACTGAAAAGATACACATATTAATCATAGTTTATTATTTATTATGTTTAAATATACGTAAATAATATTTGTGTACTTTAAATTTGCCAAATTAGCTATCACTTGACAGAGTTCACTACTTAAAGAGCATAATTCCTTGTATTCTTTGTAACTTAATTCTTGTAAAAGAGACATCTTATTAACAACTCCATATAGAAACTAATAAGTAACAGCGTTGTTACTTGTTTATTGTTGTTAAATCTGCTTATCAAATTAATATTTAACTTAAACAGCTGACGCTTTTGACACTTGACAATTTAGAATGTTTTTGGAAAACTAGACCATATTGTCTATAGGCTAGAATTTTCTTGATATTCAACTCTTATTTTTCCTTACATATAATATATTTAGTTAATAGTAGTTTCTTCCTGTTTAATGTTATATATATAAAATATATTAATAATATATTTTCATCGCAAAATACTTGTACTACTACTTGTATTGATTAGACGTTTATAGCAGTTTAAAATATGAAAAGACGAAACGTGACATAAATCTATTGACAATTGACATCCAAATGCCAAACAATGGCGATTGGAGTGGATTCATCAAAATGGAAACCGAGATCTTTAAAAGGAACTCCCGCAGCTAAAGCCGGATATATTATTAGTGCATGTGTTCTCGGCTCTGGTTTCATGGTAGGCGCATTTTACCAGTAAGTTTTATAATTCTTTTCATTTTGACTCTTCAAGTAACGATAACCTAACTTACGTTTATGTTTAAATTGTAGGTTCTCAGGTTTAACGAAGAATTTAAGAAAGAATATAGAGCCAGTGTATGAAGATCCGATTGAAGTAGTTGAGAGAAAGCAGTTGATATCAATCGGCATAACGCCTAGGTCTGGTGATCAAATCAGAAAACTCATGGAAGAAGAGAATAGACCAGACTTACCAGACAAATAAAATGAAAACTAGCGATAGGTGGGCCGATGTAATATAATTTGTAAATAAACTATGTAGTATATTAACTGTTTTTTACTTCTCACCAGTCGAAAAGTAGTAAGCAAATATTTTGTGAAAGAAACAGTGATGGATGACAGTTTTTCTGATTTTAAAGAGAAGAAAAAATGCAAAATCGGCCCAAAGGCTGTGCAAAAAAGCAAAAACAGACAAAAGAAACCGCTGAAACCTACAAAAGGCCAAAAAGATATTAGAGCTTTGATAAAAAAGAATGAACTTGTATCATACAGTAGAGATTTCAATGAAGTTTGCAAAGAAAGTGGAATAGATGTTGATGCAGAACAGTTACAACTTGCTATAGCATTATCAAAATCTCTTGATAGCAACCAATCTTCAATAGCTAGTACATCCGAAGATGTTGAAGTACAAAATAAACTATCTTCTCAAGAACGAACAGCTAAAATCAGATCTACCTTACAAGAATATGGTTTTAAAGTAAATGGTTCAAAAGTACCACCAGTCATTCTAAATAAAAGGAGAAAATATAGCAAGCATTCAAAATTGCTTACAATAACAAATGAGGAAAGGCAAACAAAAATCTCAGCTAAATATGCCGAAGTCTTAGCATTAAATTGTCATACTGTAATTGATGTATACGACGACAATTATTTAAATCACGAAATATTTTACAAGGCGACCAACATTTCATATGAGCATATTAAGAATGACGATGTTTATTATGTGTCTAATTTAATAGAAAAGGCCACACACAAATCATGTTTATTAAGAAATTGGTCTGAAATCCCAGGACGACCGGCAAGTCCTGAGCCATCTAATAATGATATTGATTTTCATAGTATTCAATGCTCTGAACAAGATTTGGATGAAATACTCAGCAGTTCTATCGATATTGCACAAAGTATTGTAAGAAACAAACAGAATTGTATTGAGGAACATTCTAGTAAAACCATACATAGTAATATAAAATTGACAGAATGTGGTCAATTAAATACATTTTCAACAATAAATTCACCTCCAGAAGTTGTTTATAATGATTTTGATAATTCTAATGAATTAAACAATCATACAAAACTAGACACGAATGATGTTCAAGCCTTAGAAGTATTAGATGAAAATGAAGTACAAATAGGAGATTTTAATGAAAACTCTGTTAAAGAAAAAGAGCCTTCACACAAAGAAGATAGTATTGATAAGAATTTAATATATAGAAGTGCTTCACCAGATCTATTTGATGAAGATTGTTCTATAGTAGAGAAAAACGACTCAAGAATAGATGAAGGTGAAAAAAATCACACGATTTTTATGGATTTAACACAATCGGACAATAATTTCAACATACGGAACTTGAATTCAATTAAACATAATTCAGATAACATAATTGAAATTATAGAATGTGTTGATTACAATGATGTTAGTAAAAAGTATGATATAGATAAAAGAAAGTCAATTGATGGTGAAAATTCGGATGTTGGAAATAAAATTGATTGCGTACAATCAAATAAAGTGAATAATGATGAAAACATAGAAATGATTGATCTGACACAAAGACCAAATTTGATCGAAGAATTACCAAGCATTGACTTAGACAATAAAAATACGTCATTGGAACTTGATGATACAGTGATTTACGAGAATCATGAAGTTATATCTGAACCTACAAGTAATGCAATAAATAGAACAAATCAAGTAACAGATTTCAATATAAAATTCAATGGTATTAGTGATACAAATGGCTATATACAGGGTGTAGATATTAGCGAAGTATACGATGAAAATGTTGAAAATAGTGAAGTTATGAATATCGATCTAACACAAAGTTCAGGAAAAAGTGTAGGGAATAATTCTAATCATGAAAATGATGAAAATCTTAATTTATCTGACAGTGAATCAATAAATAGTGGTAAAGGTTTGTCATTGGATAATTTGGGAAATGGAAATGATATTAATGATACAATAGCATTCGATAATGATTATGATAATGATAATAATGTGTTACAGAGAGCAGCAAGTGTATCATTAAATAATGATATGGAAATTGAAGATGTAAATGATTGTGTACTGAAAAATTCGAATCATGGTTCATTTATAATCGATAATTATAATGATAATGATAATAATGTATCATTACAGAAGAAAAAAACAAAGAGTGCATCATTAAATAATGATATGGAAATTGAAGATTTAGATGATGTATTGGAACATTCAAATCATAGATTCATTGAATTCGACAATGATCATAATAATGATAATGATGTATCATTACAGAGAAGAAAATCAAAAAGTATATCATTAGATAATTCTGACATTCAAAATGTAGATAATTATACGGAACGCAATACTCAAAAAATTGAGAATGGTAATAATTCCGATAAATATATGAGTAATGTCGACATTGATTTGACCCAAGCATCAGATAAATCGTTTGACGAAAACGACCAAATTAACATAAATGCAGATATTGAAATTATAGATGGAATTGTAACGACTGAAAATGATGATTCTAAAATAGATTTAACACAATTTAATGATGACATTGGGTTTAATGATGAAGCTATACATAACAGTAGTAAAACGATTAAAGCTATTGATACTTCTATAGACTATGATGTTATATTTGATGAAGTTATGTCAGATAGTAAAAAATCTAATAGAAATAGTAGTAAAGAAATATCAGAACATAATTCTGAGGTTTTTGATCTATCTGATAAGGAATTAAACTATTCTGTACACCATTCTTTCTATCAGGATGTATTTGATGATGGAAATATAAATTTATCACAACATACACCAGTTAAAGGTGATGTATATAAAGAAAAGACACCAATAAGAATAAATGATGATGAAATAATCCGAAATAAAGATGATGATGATGAATATATAATTAAAACAAGTCCCGTCACTCCGATGGCTGATTATGAAGCTATGACAACACCTGAAAGGAATAAAGAATTGGAGAAATATGGACTTAAACCATTTAAAAGGAAAAGAGGTTTGTTATATAATATGTATATATATTTAGAGGGTAATTTGATAATAATTTTATATTTTATGTAATGCAATACAAATTTCTTTGGAATTATTGAGTATGGATGGTATATATGGTAGTATTTACTATTTAATGGGTAGTTTTTTATTTCTTTGTTAGATTAAACAGATATTTATTAGAAATGTTTCAACTACAGAAGCATTATCATATAGCAATATATTTTTAGGTTGGGAAGAAGAAATAACTTAGAAAAATACCAATTACAAATGAACAATTTAATAATTCTTATAAAATTCTAAAGAAGTAGGTTTTTAGCGTGATACTAATAAACAATGATGATTGATACCTCACAGAATCTAACAATGTGATTATAAAATGACTCACGATTCCGAATTTACAGAGCTCTGACTGTTTAAATGGTTCACGAGCAATAGAAAAACTCGATACAAGACAGATCTTTATATCTTTATAAAACTAATTAATTAGAGTATACTTTAATAAATCAAAGAGAAAGGTTGCTTATTATATATACATTTCTTCCAGCAATACAACTTTTAACATATGTATACAACCAAACACATCCAATTATACAAAATTGTTCTCCTGAAGAGTGTCCAACAAAGAAATTTAAAAGCACCGAAGAAAAAACACCAAAAAAGAAAAGTCCAAGGAAAAAGACACCTAAAAAATGTTTAGATTTTGGAACTGAAATTGATGAAAACAATATATATGTCATTACAAGTGAAGTACCGGAGATCAGAAATATTGAATGCGATTCAAATGATTGGATTTTCCAGACCAAAGAAAAAGCCAAGGTATACATATATATTATTAAGTCATTAATAATAGTAATGTTATAATAAATTCACTTATGCTTTCTCAAAAAACAGTTAAATATAATTATATATATATATATATATATAAAAGAAAGTTGTGTTAGTTCCACTATTTAATATTTATAACCCAAAAAGACTGTAGGGGTGTGGTGAAAAATTGGTTAAAAAGTAGCTTAGAACCCTCGAAAAAGAAAATACTTAATAAACTCCAATATCTTGTAATTTACGGTCTTTTATATTACTAATAGCGAAATTAACGCGGACGAAGTAAAAACGCGGGCAAAAAGTACTATATAATAATTTTGAATCAAATGATTTCCATACTAAACTAAGATTTTATATACCACATTTTAAATACACATAGAATATAAACTTAAATGGATTATATATAATTATAATATTTTATCAAATTTTTTCCTATTTTTCAGGTACATTCATGCAGAATGCCACTCCATATAGCATTCTACAATTATGTATCGTGCAGGAAACTATTGAGAGAATCTATATTGAAATACGAACCAATCAATATTGATATTATACATAAACAATTGGTTGGTTACGGATATAGATATAACCCAAAGGTATGTACTTTTAGTATATAGTAACGCCAAATTTATCTGACATTGAATCAGTAAATAGCCTATTAGTATATAGTATCTAGTGACAGTTTAGAATCAATATATACCAATTTTTATCATTCAAATTTTCTATACAATTTTCTTTTCTATATGAAATAAAATGAATTTTTATTTTATATTTAAATGACTTGCTTTCCGCCCGCAGCTTCACCCGCGTGGGGTTCGGTTATATCGCGTTTCCAAGAGAACCTTTCAAAAGTCTGGGATAAAAACTATCCTATGTTCTATCTCGAGGTCAACTCTATCTCTGTACCAAATTTCATTAAAATCAGTTCAGTGGTTTAGTCATGAAAGCGTAACAGACAGACAGACAGAGTTACTATCGCATTTATAATATTAGTAGGGATAACGAAAGTTATTTTCATTTTGATAATGCTTTTTCAGGACCTCCTAAAGTTTATGGATAAGAAATGTATAACTGTGAAAATTAGGAACTGGAAAGAGTGAAAACTAAGAATGGGAATAGAAATTCATAACAAGAATAATCATGGCAATGTAAAGATAAATTAACTTATAATAAATATTTTTACATTTTGACAAACATGATTTTAATTTCTTACCTTGATTAAACAAAATACCGATAGATGGCGTGCTATTAACTAAATAACTAGAAATATCAATAATTACAATAATGGGAGTTTATAAATTGAATTACATAGATTACAAAACTGAATGTATCTTAATATATATTAAAGAAACAAATTAGTGACTATAAGTCTTTTAAACAGATTATTATGAAGGGTCTAAAATTATTATCATTTTAATAGTTCAAATACAACAAGCTTTATACTATATCCTTTTTATACCAAACTGCATTTTAAACGCGATTTTATTGTAGATATTAGTACGACACTTCAAGATATTTAAATTAGACTACAATTTTGTAATATGGTTGTACTATCACTAAATATGTGGTAATTTATTTCTAAATTGAAACATTTAGGAAGTTTGTCAATTTTAAAGACTTCTGTTGAAGTTTTGTGAATGTATGATATTCAATTAATTTTTTACTTGAAAAGATTTTATTGTCATTAATAAAAATAAACAGCGTTTTATATGAGTTATTTACAATCAGTTACATATTTAAAAACTGTATATGTATGGAAAATAGTATTTTATATACAGGGTGACTGGTGAATTACTATCAATATTTAAGGAGGATACTCGGTACATGATTCTCATTCGAATTATGTAAAAAAAATAGGTACTTAATTTTTGACAAAATTTCCGTATAAATAAATAAAGTGTTGACACGTTCCAAGTGTTCCAAGTGTGGAGGCGTGCGGCGGCGTGCTGATACAACACAACGCCGCCGCACTCGTATGTGTGAGTGTGTGTGTATACCTAATCTGTAGGGTGTTTACACGATGCGTAATTAATTACATAACCTTTGGTTAACTTTACTTAGAGGTTTATTAATATTTATGTTATATTAATTTTTATTTTGTCATATATGATCGTCACAAATCACGTCCTCAAATATCGATAGTAATTCACCAGTCACCCTGTATATGCTTATTGTATCCTTAAGACTATAGTAGTATAGTCTAGTCTAGTCTATATAATAATATATAAAGATATTATGCAAGTATAACCAATTAATTACTGAAATGTCTAAAAAAACTGCATATGTTTATAAGATTTATACATAAATTTTGAAAAATCCCAGTATTTATTGATCTACAATTATTTTAATTCTATAAACACTTATAATTCTTAATTATAACATTCAATTAATTTTTTTTTACAATGTAATTCAAAATCATGTCTCAGATCAATGGAAAGTAACTTATAGTTAAAAATCTTTACACAGTTAGATAAACTTTTATATATACAATTCTACATTTAATACATGGTCAATATTACATTACAATACATAAGTATTCTATGAAGTTTGTTCCAACATATATGTATATTTTGAAAGTAAATGAAACTAAATGAATATTTACATAATAATTTAATTATATAACATATTTATTTCTTCAATAAACCAGCTTGTTGTATGACTTGTCTTGTAGCGTTGTTGATGTGTCTGAATCTGTCGGGACCTAGTTGAATACCGCCGTACCTAATGAAAATATATTATATTAAAAAACTAAGCTTTTATATATTTGTATGATATTAAAGATATATTCGACACAATTAAAATATCTTATTGTATTGATATTGGGGAAATAGCTCAGAACCAGGAGACGGGCATAGGTTAAATCCTTTGGATCGAAAAAGAAAACTTAATAAACGCCAATATTTGATTATTTACTGCCTCTAGGGCGGAATAGTTCGCCTAGTCAGCTATACATATATTACTCATTCCGTAATTAACGCGGACAAAGTCGCTCGCAAAACAGACGAAACCTCTCATCATTCCATGTATTCACGGTGCGTGTGTCGGGTCCATCGTTGTAGCGAGAAGAGCTTCAACAGTGACTGGGACTTGTGACCCAGGTGTACGTTTAAGGGACCCTGTCTAACGCGTTAAACGTACCTAGTATATATATATATATTTTTATGCCTTAATTGGGGAAAAGGGAGAGGAAAAGTTGGGAAAGGGAGGGAAAGGTTGTTAATAGAGAAAGGGCAACCGTCTCTCTCACTCATCGGACGAAACGCATCCATTAAAGGCTACTTCACGCCGATCTTCTGTGAGAGGGTGGTACTTCCAGTCAAGCCAGCTCATGTTCGAGCTGTAGTAACTTGACCACAGCTAGGCTCTACCACCTTAACAAAGTATTATATAATACTAGCTTTCCGCCCGCAGCTTTGCCCGCGTGGAGTTGTTATATCGCGTTTCCAAGAGAACCTTTCAAAAGTCTGATATAAAAACTATCCTATGTTCTTTCTCAAGGTCAACTCCATCTCTGTACCAAATTTCACTTAAATCAGTTCAGTGGTTTAGGCGTGAAAGCGTATGTTTCATTGTTTACCCCCCGCAAACCCCTTATGGGAGAAATTTCGTAAAATCCGTTCTTAGCTGATCTCTACTCGGCGAAAGGAATAATCCTACGAAATTTCAAGTCGCTACGCCTTATGGTTCCAGAGATATCGTGATGAGTCAATATATATGTGGAAATCTCTTTTAACCTACTAATATTATAATTGCGAAAGTTTGTGAGTGTGTGTGTATGTTTGTTACTTCCTCACGCTCAAACGGGAAACCGATTTTGATAAAATTTTGTACACAGGAAGCTGACTTCCAGGAATAGCATATAGGCTTACTTTACATCCCGGAAATCCGCGGGTAACACCGCGGGGCGCAGCTAGTATCTTTATATATATGTATAATTCTTCTGTGAGTGTGTATGTCACTGAACTTCTCTCAAACGACTGGACCGATTTTTATGAAATTTTTTGTTTGTGTTCAAGGGGTCTGGGAATGGTTTAGATTTTGTCCGCTGGACAATGTTTTGTTATATATATAATATACGTACCATCTAGACACGACCACTAATGTATTCCTCTGGTCCAGTATATTCATGAGATGCAGCATCCTCCCTCCCGCGTGAGCCTCACCGTCATCATCACAGTCTTGTACTGTCAGTTTGTCCGTCACTATCCTATACGCGTACATATTGTGAGTGGCGTTCTGTATCTTCTTGTTTTGCTTCAATTTTGTCAATACTAAACTGAAATAATAATATATTTGTGATAAGATTCGAACCCGGGATAATGTTTAAGTTATCAAACATTTCAATCACTGAGCCATAGTGTTATTTAAAATTAATTTAGGTTAGGTTTAGAGATGATTTATTTCCCATTAAGAACAAAGTTCACTTACATAGGAAACGTAAACTATTAACATAATAATAAATATTTATAAAGTTAATGGTGACCTTATTTTAACAAACATTCAAATATTATAAAGTTTGACACTCTGTTTTTAATTTAGCCTTAAATTTCAAAAAAGATATTTCGTTAAATATTTCTTTCGGTATCTATTTATTTTTATTTGTAATTTAAGACTATTAATATTAATTCAATTATATAAATTGCATAAAAAATTACCAATGTGTGGTGTTAGATAAACATCTGAGAATAATGAATTTTAAATATTAGTGTTATCCATTAATAAGTATAATAAAATTAAATAACACATGGAAATACTTTAATGTAATGGAAGTTTTTATTATTTCTCTCAGTTATTAAATGATTTTGTATTATTTTAATAGTTTTATTAATTCAAACAGTAACCTTACAATAAATATTAAGAAAACAATATGACTCTATGGAATGATCAAAATCATGTATGTTAAGGATATATTGAAGTATTAAACTTAATCATAATTATTGATAGCACAAAAATTTGCAGATTAATGCATATTTAAAGTTTTTTCTATAACTATATACAAGAAAACATTTTTGATTGTAATAATTCTTATAAATCATAAAAAATATATCTTATTAGAGCATTCTGTGTATATATATTAACTGGTTTTTTTGATTATTGTTACTATCTACAACGGCATATAGTATAAATAATATGTATATTATATATGTAAATCTATGTTTTTTAAGTAAAATAACTTACTTAACATCTTCTATACTGTAAACTTTAGCTGCATGTCCCTGAAATGAGCTTTTCCTATCGACAATCACCTCGCCGTGAATTATTTCAGGACATTTTATGTCTAACTGTAACATATAAATCAAAATTATTAATAATATTCATAAAAATAATTTACAATGAATAAAAATTTTTATGTAAAATTAGCAGAATTTTAATATAGCATGTGTGTTAAAGAAGTTTTCTAATATAATAGTTCTTAATATGTATCTTTTTTTTAAAACATGTGACATTTAACATAATCTAGGGTTTTTCAGAGTCATTGCAACAATATATACACTCATTGAAGATAAAAAAAACAACTATAGTAATTGTCATGTGCAAAGAAAAACAAATATCCACACACATTCATTTTTATTAAATTATTAATTTTATTAAATATTATAAGTAAAATGTGATTAAATACCTGTGATAAATCCAATGTATCCTCTATATGTTTGGGTTTTTCTTTCTTTTTAACTTCTACGGGTTTAATTTTTTGTAACACTTCCCTTATTTTTTCAACCCATTGATATATGACTGTTTCACCGACACATTCTCTAGAAAATATCATAATAGTAAAAAGTATTAATTATTACTTCAATATTACACAACTATTTACAGTTGAAGAGATAATTATAAGAAATGGGAGTGTCTAGAATAACTTTTTTCAAATAGTTATGCTTCAAAAACATAATGCAGTCATTAACATAAGATAATTAGTATTTAAAGTCAGTGGTGGCTTAGTGGTTAAGAGGCCCGTCTCTCATGCATGAGGGCGCGGGTTCGATCCTGGCAAGTACCAACGTGATTTTTCTGAGCCATATGTACTTTCTTAAGAGTATTTATACCTCACTGATTAATACATTCAAGCAGGCGGCCGGTCGTAAAACCAATAAGCCAAAACTATTCACAACATGTACCTAAGGCAAACCCTGGCTAAAGCCGGGAAATTGCCAGGTAGAAGAAGAATTATGTTAAAATGTGTTAATAGTGATAATCTTACAAATATATTTCATCCAAACAGTAATGTAGATTTTCTTTTGCCTTTCTGTCCATCCAAGGCGCCGACAGCTCGTATTTCGGGGGTGATTGACCTGGGTAACCTTCTGTCATAGTAACATATAAGATAACTTCATTTTTGTTATCACTAACTCTGATGCTGTATGATCTCGTATGCTCACAATCTGTTGTGAAATCGCTGCCGTATATAGAACTCAACGCTTCCACTTCTTCGATCTGTATTTATAGAATTATTATTCGATTTCATTCTTCAAAGTAAAATGACATTAATTAGTGTTAAATAATAACCTGTTTAGTTAAATTATCGGCGTCCATTTTGTTATGTGAATTAAAGTAAGTGGTTGTTATTGATAATTAATAATTAATGCGTTTTTATTTGTTTTGTTAAAGGTTTTAGCACCGTTCACAGCTGTTACTATCTGACATTGTCAAAATGTCAAAAGCTTAATGTCAGCAACATCTTCAGATAAAAAAGTTTATCAAATAAAATAGATTATTGTCGGTTTCATTATATGTTTAAATATAATTTAACGTAATAAAGAATTTCATGTCGTTATATAAAATCACAAAAATTCTTCAATAATATTAAAATGTTTCATCAAAATGTGGGCACTAGATGGCGCTCAATATGTATAAGTATACTTTTTACATGTTGCATATTTTAAATTACGAAGATATGACAAGTTGACAAGGTAACGAATTATAAGAGTTCAATTACAGCCTGCAATACATTCACTCTACTGTTTTGCGAGATATAATATCTAGAATAAAATGATTTTAGTTAGCAAATTGCTATTAAAATTGAAATTAAACATATTCTAATTTCTATATCACTCTCTTTCCCGGACAAAATCTTTACTCTTATTGACTTCATCTAATGATATGAAAAAGTATGTTTGCTAGCAGTTTTTAGCATTTCGATAAAGAGAAAATACAGTGATGGTTATATCGTCTTTGGAAATTAAAATTTCCTCAACCAAAAAAACCGATCTTTCTTATGGTTAGATTAAATATAACTAAATAATTTGTGTCTTTCTCCTTGATTAAATGTTACTTATTTAAAATAACTAGAAAAAAAAGAATTAAAAAAAGCTAATTTCATGTTAGAAGTTCTGAAAAATTAACAAACTATTTAAATCATATCATAAGCTATTATAAAGTTACGAGTCAGTGATGGCCCAGTGGTTAAAGGGCCCGCCTCTCGTTGCCGAGGGCGCGGGTTCGATCCTGGCCCGGGCAAGTACCAATGTGATTTTTCCAAGTCATATGTACTTTCTAAGAGTATTTAGACATCACTGATTAATGTTGATTCCCAAAAAGAGGGTTGATGTCAGGCAGGCGGCCGGTCGTAAAAACAAATAGCCAAAACTATTCACATCATGTAAGGCAGACCCTGGCTATAGCTGGGAAATTGCCAGGTAGAAGAAGATAAGCTATAATAAATTGTAAAAAGTTAATCAGAACAGATAATTATGCAGTTGATAACCAAAGTAATACATATGTACGTAAAAAGGTTGTATATTTCTGATAGTTAGACAAAGTAAAGTCGAATTCATCTATCAACAGTCAAATGTAACTCCGCCATATTATAAAAATATATTAAGACTTAAAGACATTGGCTATAGAAATCTTTTTTCAACTCCATTTACTTAAACCGTTTTATTAATTATTTTAAAGAAAATACTAGTACAGAGACTATTTATTTTAAAAATTTAAGTTAATTCAAGGATTATGCGCTATTTTTGTCATTGATTTATGATGACGGAGGTACTTCAGTCATGTCAAAGATGACACGCTCAACAGTAAACTATCATTTACAGTGAGGAGCTTTAGGTTTAAAGAAGTTTATTTCCAAAAAGAACAAAGTTCGCTCACAAAGGAAATTTTAAAAATTATAACTACAATTTAGATTACAAATAATAAACAGTAGTGATATTAAACAAGATCAGTGAAATCATCTAATATATGGGTTCTTAATCGTTTTTTTTAAATACTATATTTAGAGATTTTGAATTGACAACACTTAGAGGCAGAGTTATACAGCTGTGCTCCTTCAAATGAAATAGTTTTAATGTCGTACTTGGTTCGAGTTTTAGTAGCTTTCGTTTCGTTTAGTTTTTCTTGTAGGTCGTAGAGCCTAGCTGTGGTCAAGTTACTACAGCTCGAACATGGGCCGGCTCGACTGGAAGTGCCACCCTTTCACAGAAAATCGGCGTGAAGCAGTTTTAAATGACTGCGTTTCGTCCGATGAGTGAGAAAGCCGGTTGCCTTTTCCCTTTTCCTACCCTTTCCTACCCCTTCCATTTTCCCTCCCTTTCCCACTTTTTCCTCCCCCTCTTCCCTAATCAAGGGTAGCGACATATCCGCAACATAAGAAATGTTGCGAATGTCCATGGATAACGGTACTACATACCTCCATCAGGTAGGCCGTCTGCTCGGTTGCCCTCTTTAGTATAAAAAAACGTTTTAATTGGGTTAACCTTATTATCAATGGCCAATCAAGACTATATCTACATGTCTCCATTGTTCCGTGCTGTTCTCGAGTTTTAGCGAGACTAAGGAACAGCAATCCATTTTTATATATATAGAAGATAACGTATTTAAAAACATTCCATTATTTCTTTTAACCAGCCAGTAGATTTATATGTATATTATATATTTAAGAACTATTGTACGAAAGTAAAGATGATTATGATATTATGTTGAAATTATAAATAAATACATATATGTATATCATAAAGTGTAATTAAATATAATATCCTTGATAAACCTGTTAGCTTTTAGACTTTACTGGTGTAAATAAATCGTGATTGTATCTCGTTCAAAATATTTCTTTTCCTAAACAGAAAACAATAAACTTCTTATAAATTAATTCGTTTACTAAAGGATGAAGATTTCATAAGAGCTTTGTCAATATTTTCAAAGAATTTTATATTACTGCAAAAATATTACGTCGCCTTTTAAAAAATGTTTTTTTTATTCATGTGTAGAGATCTATTTAATTGTTGATTTTGGTCTGTTAAAATAAAACAACTTGTCTATGATAAAATGTGTTCAATAAGTTATTTCGGAAGATTAGTTTTGTAGAATTTATTATACACAGATCTATTTAATGTATATGATATAATTTTGTTCTTTAAGACGAGTGCCGTCAATTCAAATACAGTTAGTTTCCACGTTTTCATACTAACGTAAGTACATTTTCTTTCTTCATACTGTAACTATGTACTTTCAGTTTGACGTTTCAAAGTCCTGATAAGGGTTTAGTGAGTTTCGTATATGTTAAATAATAATTATAATGAGATCTAAAACTTCTCATTTTGCCTTCATAATCACGGTTGCTGCAAAGTAATGGAAACGTCGGGAGTATATACTTGTAGTTAAAATAATAATAAACGTAAGTCCGAATATATTAGTTTTATTTAAATGATTATAAATATTAATCGAGGACCTTGCAATAATATGACGGGTTTTTTCAGAGTTTTCAAAATCGTTTCAAAGTTTTATCAAGCTGCCGATATATTTTAGATAATTTTATTTTAGATAACTATAGTTTTTTTTCATTATTTTCATTTTATTACTTACTTTTCATTCAAATGAAATAAAATATTTAATAAATTCCCGAATATTAAAATACGATTCGCAATAAATTAATCGCTAAGAAATCCTACGAAGTACATACAATGATAGATGTTTTAACAGAAAACAATTTGATATAAATGCCTTTAAATTCTTCGTGCCCGATAGTATGACATCAATGTTTTTGGATGAATCGCTCTGGCCTCAAGGGGTAATATTTAAGCGATTTATTAACTTTAGACAGAAAGCGAAAACTGGAAATGCAGATAAATAAATTTGTAAGTTTTAACTGTAAAGGTTTAAAACGATCAATGGAAAATGTAAGACAGCTTTGTTTGACTTCAGATATAGTCGCATTGCAAGAAACGTGGACTCTTCCACATGAACTATCGTCTCTTAATACCATTGATACGGATTTCGGCTGTACGGGCACATCGGCAGTAGACACCGAGGCGGGTCTGTTGCGAGGCAGGCCTTATGGAGGTGTAGCCCTGCTTTGGCGGAAAAGTGTGTTCCAAAATGTGTCTGTAGTGCGCTGTGACAACCCTAGAGTCTGTGCTATAAAGATAGTGTTACACCAAAGGTCATTACTAGTGTTTAGTGTGTATATGCCAACGGATAAACTGATAAACGTTCCGGATTTCACGGATTGCCTCAGTTCGGTGAGTGCTATTGTTAAAAATGAAAATATCGAGTCAGTATATGCTCTCGGAGACTATAACTCACATATAAATGAACTGTTTTACAACGAACTTATAAATTTTTGTAATGAGTTAGAATGGACGTGTGCGGATGTACAGTTTTTAGGCCCTTCGTCAGATACATATACTTTTATTAGTGAGGCCCATGGGTCGAGACGATGGTTAGACCACTGTATAGCCACCATGTCTGCGCTAGCTTCAATTGTTAATGTTTATGTTAAGTATGACGTGTTTTGGTCGGACCACTATCCCCTGATAATAGAGTGTGACTTAGGGGCGGTTAAACCAAAACTTATATGTAACTCGAACATAATTGCTAAAGATATACTATGGGGCGACAAAAAGCCGGAACAGATAAACTTATATAGTAAGCTATGTCACGAGAAATTAAGTACCTTGGAATTGTATAATGAAATTAAATGCTGTAATTATTTGTGTAAAAATGTAACTCACAATATGTATATAGATAAGCTCTATAGTGACATTATATATATTCTAACTAATGCCGCCTCGGAGTCTAGCCGCACAAACAGGTGTTTTAGGAAGCGGCCGGTGGTTGGATGGAACAGACATGTACGCGAGGCTCACAGGGAGGCTAGATCGGCGTTTTTAGTCTGGGTATGGTACGGTAAGCCAATGAAAGGTCATGTGTACGAGGAAATGCGAAGTAGCCGGAGTGTTTTCAAGTCCCGTTTGAGGTGGTGCCAAAACAACGCCGAGCAGATAAAAATGGATATCCTGGCTTCGCATCACTTCAAGCATGACTTTAGACAATTCTGGAAGGCTACTAACAAATTTAATAGCGGGATGAGTCTTCCTGTGAGCGTCGAGGGCATTAGCGAACATGGTCTCATTGCTAATACGTTTAGGGATCATTTTGCTGTAAGGTCCCCGTTAGGTTCTTCACAGTCAGAGGTAGGGGAAGCATCGAGTGACCGGGGGATCGGAATTTGTTTTACATCTGAGGACGTAAACAAGATTATTACCTCAATGTCGCGTGGTAAGTCCCCAGGCCATGATGGGCTTAGTATAGAG